AGTTGCTGCAGTCGCTGGTAGTTCTCCAGCTTCTGCCTGCGTTATCTTGAAGAGATGCCATCTAAGTTTTGACAGTTTAGTGAAAGTCATTCGTGGACAGTAGAGCTTAAATACAAATTCCTCTAGACTAACAATATATACAAGTTCGTTGAGGGCATTTGGTCTACTCTTCCAGCATCTTGAATGCATCTAGGACTTTTGTGTTAGATTTCATCAAAGTGCTCCAACATGCTTTCTTTTCCTTTTGCCAACAAATTTTCCAACGCAGTCAGATCCTGTGAAGGCATGGAAACTCAGGCTCCTATGCCCAATGTGTCGTCGCTCTACCAGTTCCTGTTATCATACTTGTATTTTCTCCAAGTTGAGGTTGCTTTAATATGCCAAACACATCAGTGTCTGGTGACTTGATATGTACAGTGCTGCCCTTCTGTGATGCATATACTGTATGTCCTGCTTAAGTTCTATAACTTGTGATAGCAATTTGATGGTTGAAGTCTTATTTGCTGCTTTCCACGACAGTAGATTAACCTTGGACAGCTTTTCCCAGATGCTCAATGGACCAACAATACGTTCCTTGACAAAATTTTCATAATTTTGTCTTCCAACTTCATATGCACATAGATTGTCATATTTGGCATTTTCTGGCATTACAGCTCCAGCTACCAAGTTTATAAGAGCATCATTTTCCTGGGATTACAGTAAATATTTCTACGGCAGTGAATGAGTAAGTCAATAAGTGGTGTATAGAGCTGCTGATGCAACTTAAACGGTATATACTGCACATTATATGTTATCAGAGCTTTCCTGTTGTACGTAACCGCCTCCGTCAAAGTGTCTTAGTGGCTCATGTGAAGATTAGCCTCTAGTTTATTTAACCTCAAGATTAACTACACTGGCACTGCCTGACCTGACCTGACCTGACCTAACCTAACTTAATCTAACCTAACTTAATTTCCCAGGTAGCGTTAGGTTAATCATTAGTTGAAATAAGCTGGGAGGGTTAATCTTCAGGGCAGGATGCAAATGCATTACAGGAGGATCTAAATAAACTGCAGGGGTGGTCTGAAAAATGGCAAATGAAATTCAACACCAGCAAGTGCAGCGTACTAAATATTGGAAGAACAAATACTTATAATGTATACAGCCTGAACAACATCAACCTAGAGAAGTCGACTTGTGAAAGAGACCTAGGGGTACTTGTAAGCCCGGACCTACGGCCTAGAAAACAGTGCTAATGTTCGAAATAAGGCAAAACAGAGGTCGGGTTTTATATCTAGAAGTGTAAGTAACAAGAGGCAGAGGTCTTATTGCAACTATATATCTTTGGCGCTTAGTTAGGCCAAAGACCCTCGATTAGTGTGCAAGGTTCAGTTCTGGTGCCCGACATAGAAAATGGATATAACTACCAGAGTCGTGCAATGTAAGAATGACAAAATGATTCAGGACTTAGAAACCTTCCATATCAGGATAGGTTAAAGAAGAAACTTAACTTGGTATTCCTAGAAAGACGAAGAGTGGGAGATATGATAGAAGTATTTAAGTGGGTGAAAGGAATCAATAAAGGGGATATAGATAAAAGTTCTTTATAATATCCGAGCAGGATAGGACCCGGAGCAACGGATTCGCTGGATAAGTTTAGGTTTAGGAGGGAGATAGGAAGAAACTGGTTCACAAATAGGGTGGTGGACGAGTGGAACAAGCTTAGCAACTTTGTAGTAAGTGTGGGAACTCTGGAAAGTTTCAAAAGGAGGCTAGATAGATTCATGGATGATAGAGAGTGGTAGTAACTCTCAACAGGAGCTGCCATGCACAGGCCAACCGGCCTATTGCAGACTCCTTATTTTCTTATGTTCTTATGTTCTTAAGGCAGCCTCAGTCTGACTGTGTGAGCTGTGCATGGCACACGCGAGTCACCACTTGTATTTCTATCATCCATAATAAACGGACTTCAGTGTTACACAGTGTTTCCCTACCCATCACTGCATTCTTTGGGGAACTTGTAACCACCATGGCGCAGTGCCTAGGATCTGTGGACTTACAAAATGTGTGAACGGTGCCGAGACAGTTACGTCTGCTGGTGATGCGCGTCGACTCAGTGTGTTGTGTTGTGTTGCGCTGTGTTTCGCCGCGATGTGCAGTGTTGCTCCGTCACAGTGCGTTTTAGTGACGGTGGCAGTGTTAGTGTCAGTGTATTAGTGTGTGTCTAGAGCTGAGAGTTGAGCATTGGCCTGTTTTTGGTGGTACCCACGGAGCACGCAGGCGTACACCCTTCTCGTGTGACATCCCGGGTGATACCCAGCCACCGGCATTAAGGCCACCACGAAGCAATCTCTCAGACACACACACACGCACACACTCGCTCACGGACAGAACAGTGGACTATATGCGTGATCTCTGTGCTGTTTATGTCATATATATGTGATTCGAGCTGTTGAGGCGCCACTTTATATACTAAACAGTGCAGTCCACGCACACACAAAGATGGGAGGTAAGAAGGGACAACGTCAAGATGGGAGACACGACTCCCCACCACCTTCTCCTCCACCGGGCGCAGACTCTCATCCTCCACCTCCAGTGACGGACATTGCCACAATTCTGAGGTGGATGGACGACCGGGACGTGAGACGTAGAGAGATGGAACTTCAGAGGGAGGAGACACGAAGAGAGGAGGAAAAGTTGCGTTTTGAGGCACTATTGGTGACCATGGCGCTAACCCACCCTCCCTCACTCGCAGGTAGCGCTCATATAGGCGCCAGTACCCTCCCTCCTCCACCACACCAGCGTCCTGCAGGTACCCTTACCACTAGCCCCCACCCTCTTCAGTACCAACATCGTCTAAGGCCATTCGTATATCATTGTTAAAATTATACACATTCCCCTTCACCAGTGGGTTTACAGGGGCTCGTTATTAGGTTTGGTGTAATGTGGCAACGCTGTGTTTGTTCACATTCGACAATAGCAAACCCGCAATAATAAACATACTGTGGAATCAAATTAAAATAATATTAAAACAAATATCCCAATGTAATGATATGTGAACTGTTTATATGACGAGCCCCTGTAAACGCACTAGTGAAGGGGATTTTACCTGGTGTCACTATAGCGAAGTCTAAAACCAATAACTGTTTCAACTATTAACTCAGGTTTATTGTTATTGTTATCCTGTGTTCATTAGCATTGTATATACATAAATGTCAAGTTAAATTTTAAACTTTCCAGCTATATGTGTTTGTGTGTGGATTAACAGGATAATTTACACATGATGGAGACGCTTGGATCATTTAAATATAGTCTTGCTAAAACCAAAACCCCGATTCATGTCATTTTGAACCCTTTATAATACCATCTAAGGCATTATAAACATCATCCAGCATTATAATATTCTATTGTTTACCTGCAAAATAACATACATTCAAACATTTTTTTCTTCAGAATATCCAAAACATTCAACATTTACAGGGACTTACCTCAACATTTTTATTATCATTCAAAGTCTTATTTTATACAACACATAAAAAAACATCATAATTATAATACTTAAACAAAAAATATATATAAAGTTTCCATATACTGTTTAATATTTGTTTTTCTATATGAGACACGAGGGTAACTATGATACCTGCCTATATTTAGCACATACTGGTGATGCGTTATAAGGACTCGACCAATATGTACTTTAGTCCCGTCTATTTAATCTGCCTAACACAAGCATCTACGTAAACATCTCAAGTATCACCGATTATACAATAAATAAATAAATAAATAAATAAATAAATAAATAATAAAAAATCAACCATGTTTGAAAATACCTGAGAAGAATAAATCAATCTTGTTTCATTTGCACTACAAGACACCATATCATCATAACATACAGTGACACAAACAAACGTAAAAAACACTCAAGAAACAAACAAAAAACAAACACAGTACAGTAGACGATGCAAGACAAACAGCAGACAAACAGAAAAAACAACAACAACAACTCCTTCGTGCACACCGCTGAGACACAGAGAATGTTTTCGTCAAGGAAGGAAGGAAGGAAGGAAGGAAGGAAGGAAGGAAGGAAGGAGACATGAGACAAGACTATTAACACACTAGGCAGGCGGCAGGGCAGGGGCAACGAAGACGATTTGAAGCCACACACACACACACACACACACACACACACACACACACACACATAAACAAGCATCTACCTCACAAACACAGAAAACCCTACCACCAGGAACAACCATCTACCACACAAACACACAGGAACAACCATCTCACAACACACAGGAACAACCATCTACCACACAACACACAGGAACAACCATCTACCACACAACACACAGGAACAACCATCTACCACACAACACACAGGAACAACCATCTACCACACAGGAACAACCATCTACCACACAGGAACAACCATCTACCACACAGGAACAACCATCTACCACACAGTCACCTTACCTGGGGTCGTGATCGATAAAGACGAGGGAACAATGACCGGTCCTGTACGCCAGATGCAGGCAGGGGCACCAGTCATAATGCTCTGAGGGGGAAGCCAACATGCAAGCATTCACTCACATAATTACTGTGAGTTCAGGTAAGGTCTCCTCCCCCCCACCCTTCAGGTACACCAGGTAATCAAAGGAGACCTGTGGGAGGAGGAGAAGAGTCGCTTCCCCAGGAGGTTAGAGGTCTCACACACACACAGGGGTTAGTAGCGCGGCGTTAGTTATGCTTCCTGTAAGAGGGAAGCTGCTGCCGGGGAACACCTTGCAGGCTCATGCAGGCAGGACTCGTCATACAACAGTGCAGGTTAGTGAGTGACAGGAGGCAGGCGTAGATGGCAGTGCAGGCAGATGGGCGTGAAAGTAGATGGCAGCGCAGGCAGATGGGCGTGCAGTTAAAGACTGGCGTGCAGACAGCGAGGCAGAAGAAGCGACGAGTGGTGTGGCCGGACGGAGCAGAGCGGGGCGGGGCGGGGCGGGGCAGGGCGTAGGTCGTCTTACCAGTGACGGAGCTGGCACTCTGCAGCTCGGTGTCGTCGAACTCCAGGTTGGGCTCGTAGTCGTGGTAGTCACTGAGGCTCGGGTAAGGATCTTCATGGTCTCCGTACGAGGCTGGAGGGCGACCCGCGGGTAACAGCAGACAGTGGGGGCACCACGGACACACGGACCGACACACGCACCACGGACAAGAGAGAAGAGAAGAGAAATAAAATCCAAGTTAGCACTACAGACCCTCGCCCAGCTAACATACACACACTACAGTACTACATAAAGCTCTGGTTATTGGCCTTTATACAACAACAACAACATGGTGAAGTGTTAGTCAATACACACTGCTCTACAGGGTTGTGGTTGGGGTGTAGATACACTATCTGCCGCCTGGGACACACACACACACTCCCCGTGGCAGGAAGGTCAAATGCACACTCGCTCGTGCTGTACTGACCATATAAGGGTTGACAGTAACAGATATATAACTAATATATTGCATGACATCGAAGCTCGTAGTTCACTCTCTACAACACACACATGTAGACTCCACATATACGCGTGTGTGTACAAGACGAAGGTGTGGCAGTGTAGAGGAACATACTTCAACACTCTTAGTACAATATATTAACCATTTTGTACCTCTACAGACAAGTATTCTACGGTGGAGATCTTCAACTCATTTCTTATTTTCCATCTATGTCTCCTTTCACTTTGTTTCTTGGTATCCATTCAATTACTTTCTGATTTTATACTCAAATTACCACCAGGAGTTTTGGTTAGCTAGAACAACACACCCCACCCCCCACACACAACCTCTCCCACACACCCTCCCCACACAACCTCTCCCACACACCCTCCCCACAACAATACTTCCATCACCACGCACACCATTAACACGCCCATTACACCACCATTACTCTCTTATCTGTTTATTTTCTTCATTTCTATGGCACAAAAAACAAAAAACAATTGAATCACAGAAAACGGAGGCACCAAGATACGCGAGGGGATACTTCAACAGTGATGCAATGTAGATTAATTCCAGGGGACCTTCTTCTTACCTCGGAGTCTCAATACAGATATGATTAATTCATTTGGGTGGAAGAGATTGTCCGGAAATTAAGTGTTGGGAAGGAAGGAGTGAGTCTCTCTCTCTCTCTCTCTCTCTCTCTCTCTCTCTCTCTCTCTCTCTCTCTCGTGTTGTAACTGCGCTGAAATTCCTTGTTTAAATGCCATTATGCTGTTATGTATGTATGGTATGTGTGTATGTTTGTATGTACTGGATGTATGTATGTTCTGCATTTATGTTTTTTTTATTTTTTTCAGTGTACAGTATGGCTGCTGGAGAGAGAGAGAGAGAGAGAGAGAGAGAGAGAGAGAGAGAGAGAGAGAGAGAGCCTCTAACAGAATAATATAACACCCTGGCGTATCAGACGAGCCACAAACTACAACCCAACAGAGACATTCCCCCACATATTATATTAAACTCTGTCCACGAACCACCATGACACAACTCGCTCATCATGACAACACCCAACTCGGTCACCTGGGCTCCGTGACCTGGCCATCCCCCCCTTACATCACACCTGTACAGCACCAACCCTTATCAACCCCCCTGGTCATAGTGTGTCTGTTGGTTTGTCCACTTCTGTCTGTGTTAAGCATCTTTCTGCATATCGTGCAAATTACACATTTTTTTTTATCCATGGTTGATACATCCACGTTGGTCTGTATTGATTATTGACGGGGCAGCAGAGGAACAGGAGGAGGGAGGAACAGGAGGAACAGGAGGAACAGAAGGAGGGAGAACAGGAGGAGGGAGGAAGAGGAGGAGGGGAGGAAGAGGAGGAGGAAGAGGAGGAGGAGGGGGGAACAGGAGGAAGAGGGAGGAGGGAGGAGGAGGAGGAGGAGGAGGAAGAGGAGGAGGAGGAAGGAGGAGGAGGAGAAACAGGAGGAAGGAGGAGGAGAACAGGAGGGAGAAGGAGAACAAGGAGGAGAGACAGGAGGAGGGGAGGAACAGGTGGAGGGGGAGGACAGGAGGAGGAGGAGGAACAGGAGGAGGAGGAGGAGGAACAGGTGGAGGGGGGAGGAACAGGAGGGAGACAGGGGAGGAGGGGGGAGGAAGAGGAGGAGGAGGAACAGGAGGAAGGAACAGGAGGAGGAGGGGGAACAGGAGGAGGAGGGGGAATAGGAGGAGGAACAGGAGGAGGAGGAACGGAGGAAGAACGGGAGGAGGAGGAGACAGGAGAAGGAGGAAGGTGGCCATGTTCTCCCTCACAGACGATCAAGACACGATAATCACCCTTATTATGTCTTCACCTTTTGCCAGTCCCTCACCGGATCTCAGACAGGTAATACCTCTTCCTCCAGGACAAAATAACAAGGGAATAAGCACAACTAGTAATTTTAAAGCTTCTCCCCCCTTCACCTCCTTCCTCCACAAAAATTCACTTACTTCACCTACCACCTCCCCACCCTTCCCTCCCCCTCATACCCCATGATTCCAACTTCCTGCCTTACCACCAGCAATACCCCATTAGTGTGTGTGTGTGTGTGTGTTCCTTTGAATCCGGCCGCCCACCATCATATAGCGAGAAAGAACTTGTAAAAAAATGGACAAAAAAAATCATTATTTCAATTACAAGTTGGAGTAATAGCGCCTGACCACGTCGCTATTCACCAAGGGGGGGTGGGGGGGGGGAACTAGGGCGCTGTAATACTGTTATAAGTTGACGTTCTTCTAAAAGTTCCCACAATCCAACAAGTGACGTCATACGGCAAAATGGCAGGATAGCGGACATTAAAGAGTTATTAGGACACCGCAGAGAACGTCAAATTTGTGGTAAATACTTGATGATTAGTTAATTGGGCTCCAGATGGTAATAGGTCCCAATCCTAATGATTAGATTGGATTGGAGCCCGTTAAGATTGGGTGCCCATTTGACCAACAACCTGTAATCACTCAATGTTGTCCCCTACACTGCTTGGAGTACCCCTCCCTCTCCCACCTCACCATCCCCCCTTACCTCACTACCACCCCTACTACATGCCTCCTCCCCTTCTCCCCTGAGCCTCACCACACGTCACCTTATGTATGGGTTACATAGTTTCTTCTTGACGAGTAACATTCCTAGTGCACCTTCTCAGCTGTGGCCTCTGTTGCTGTACACTACACGCTGGTTTAGATTAGGTTAGGATAGGATAGGTTAGGTTAGGTTAGGATAGGTTAGGATAGGTTAGGTTAGATTAGATTAGGTTAGGTTAGGATAAGTTAGGTTAGGATAGGATAGGTTAGGATAGGATAGGTTAGGTCTGGAACGCATCTGAGCAGTCATTACGTAACACATTTCAACATCTGAAGTGTGAAAACTAACTATTAATCACAACACTCGACCAGTTTCCATTTCACACGAAGTAATTATCACTGCCACCCCTCAGGACGCAGTCTCTTCCCACGCGTCAACACACACACAAACGATTAACACCCATTATAATCTTGCACTGGGCGTTCTTATTACATGTACACACAACGTTCTCTGCGTCATCACCTGGGCGTTCTTACATACAGCATCATCACATGTACGTATACACACACACACACACACACACACACACACACACACACACACACACGATCACTGCATCATGACCACAAATGTGTGTTGGGTGAGTGTGCGTGTGGCTGTAGTGACCGCTGAAGGAGGCGCTGCTGGTACAAGGTGTTACGAATGTCAATGTCACCCCCCCCTCCCCCTGGCCTGACCACTCCAGCTGTCACTCCTACATGACAGTGATACTATCTTATCCGCATCACTACTATCTTATCCACATCACCACCTTACCCACATCACTACAATCTTATCCGCATCAGAGAGAGAGAGAGAACATCTGAATAAACCCTAATTTTCTCCTTATACATAACACCTGACTCGTCTAAATGACGTACTCAACATCACTCCATTACATCAACACACGACACACCAAGAACTCACTCAACAAGTACTCCTGCTGGTGAGTAGGGGGACTGGGGGACGGTGAGTACATGATCCAAGACAACAGCAGGTGAGGAAAACTCTCACTGAGGTGTTGTTATGTAGATGTCAACATATGATGGTCCTCAGATACACCCCCTCGAGTCTTCTCCCTCAACCCCCAGGTCTAAAAGTGACTGAGGTGAGGGTAAAGGACCTTAAACACAAAGGAAGGTAGTGAGGAACTGGCAGTGTGTTGACGGAGTGGGCTGGAGGCGATGGAGAGAGGTTGCAGATGAAATGGAACCTAATTCTAATTGGACCTAACCTAACCCAATCATTAAAACTGGGCCCTAATTTTTAATAGTTAGGCTAAAATGAAACCTATTTGAAATGGTTGACAATTTGACCTGTAATAAAGACAATCACCACGGAAGCGAACCATTATATCGGCTGAGGTGGCAGTATTGAATATAAACACACAGTTGCGTTGACAAAAGGGGACGGAAGCACCAGGAGTGAAGCGACAACCTTGAGAATGTGAGGTGGCGAAGGACGACGGCTGCCACGTGAACTAACGCCACCACAAGGAGTAGCTGGGGATCAACGACACTAGAATTGGAGGACACACACACACACACACACACACACACACACACACACACACACACACACACACCGGGGTAAATGACCGACATCCTTCCGCACGACCCTCGCTCCTAACCACTAATCATTCTAATTAAGTTACGTCATTACCATCACAACATAAGGTCTTGATGCTAACGGTGTGTGTGTGTGTGTGTAGACAGAAGAAGACAGACAAGACAGTGGTGATCTCAAACTCCAACACGAATCATAACTGTTGCAAGGAAGTAAGGGTTCACAGTGAGGGTAAGTGACAACCTCAGAAGTATATAGTAAAAAATTAAGGAGTACCGAGGCCGTCACACTGTAAACACGGGATCCTGGTGAGGTATAGCGGAGGTCTTCATCATCCAGCAGTGTACGAGGTCCTTACCCAGATGCTTCAAACATTATACCACAATCACGTCTTTTATTTAACTGGGCTAGGATCAGTGCCGTAAACAAACATTAACTTTACTATTATTTCTCAACATGAGTTATGATACAGCCGTCAACAGTGGTTCA